CAGTTTAGGAACCACTGTCTTGTGCAAAGGTTAAAGGTCAGAACAGATAATCTGAAAAACAGCAATTTTGAACTGACAGAAAATTGCATATGTTCTCTTCATTCTTTTGTGTTTTTCCTTATGCACGTTGTAAACAGAAATTAGGGCTATAAAAAAAAATCAAAGTGCACAAAGTTGTGATTCCTGATGCTGTACTTTGTAATGCCATCTAAAGCCAAGTCTGTCCATTTATCATGTAACTTCTTAATTAGGTTTAATGTAATTAGTTGTATCTTTAAATATCCTGCATTCCTGAGGGGTGTGGATTAGGAATGCACAAAATGGCTGTTTTTATAAGCCACACTGTTATATGAAGATATCCTTTCATTTGGAAATATTTCTTGGCACTAGAGCACCATGAGGACGTTTAAAACGTTTTGTATGTTATTTGAAGACACTTCTGCTAAGAAATGGAAGAACACCCACCTGAACTTATGCAATCAAACTTTGTTCTCAGAGGCATCGATGCAACCTAAGACAGAATTTACCCATTCCTTTTAAAGTTACTATAAACAGTATTTGTTGACACAATAAGGTCTGTGACTATACAAGTCTTGCTAAGTTACAACATGTACTGCTAGTACACTACATCTTTCAGGCATACTAACGTTTGTTTAAAACAGCATTATTTGGTTAATAAAACACTCAAGATTGATATACAATAAAGTTGAAACCAATGCTTTTAATTTTTATTTTCAGGTCTGAAGTAGAGAGTACAAGCTTGAGTATGCTTTCTTATCAGTACTACATGGCTGAAAGCTGTCAGCTGTTCACATGCCGTATTAATAGATATGCCCAAATCATAAAGCTTTAACTGTATTTGCACATTCCTTTTATTACTAGACTGTTTTATTCATGTTGGCACAGATAATCCATGCAAGGTAGTTACTCACACCTCATAAACCACACTACATTCTGTTTCTGAAATAACTAGGAACTTAAGAAAAAATATGTATCTAAAAGCAAGGGCACTTGTGGCATCATCAACGTGTCAATATATTATAAAACGTACACTTCTAATATGATCACTGCAGGCAACAAATCACTCAGTTTCAAATTCTGATGTTTATAAATACTAAACAAATTAATATCTGCTACCAAGGGACAAGTATTGCAAATAAACATTAGCGTGCCCAGCATTAGACACTCATGAGTGTGTTCAGTGCTGTGGACATTCACATTATTAAACATAAATACAAACAATCTTTAACAAAACATTTCGCCCAAAGTACTGACCACTGAAGGACCAAAGTAAAATATTTTTCCTTGTTTTGAATTGATTTTAGAAATGTGTAATGTGTAAATCCAATATAGTAAAAACTAACTTCTAAAAAAAGAAGTCATAAGAGTGTTTTTTTCCAGATAATAAAAGCGATCTTCTTTGGAAACATTTAATTTACCCTGTTCTGCAAAGAGAACAGAAAAAGAGAAAAAGCATTAAGATAATTTTTGAAGCCTTTGATTGAAAAGTTATTGAACGCTTTTTAATTAGATAAAAGACTAGTCTTTTTATTTGATCATTCAGAGGTACAGTATCTTTGTTTTATTATGTAAAACCCCACGTTAATTAGAATGAAAAGAAATATTTAAAAGAACTTAGGACTTGTCCCAGGCATCTATTACAAGACATTAAATATAAACAAGTACACATTATTCATCTTGCATATTTTTGTACAACTTTTATGTTCAGTGATAGTTGAAGGGCCCTATTCTGAATTATATATATATATATATATGCATCTTTCCCCCCTCCATATCACAAAGGTGACATGTGGCAGACGAGTATCAGCAGTTATGTGGTATTCTACCTCTGTGAAAGTTAAAATACTACATTATTATTCACAAATTTCTGGTTCAGATATGTGCAAAAATTATATTTTAATATAGATATCAAGGGCGGGTAAATGGATTCCCTATTTTTGGACCACATTATGAAGCAGCACAAGTCAAAACAAGAAATTTATTACATGATAATCCTCAGGGTATCTCTGTTCTTCATTCAGAGATATCACTGTACCTCATATAGTGATATGTAAACTAGCTTTAATCTCACTTGCTCAGACACCAGCTGGAGTCAGGGCATGTGTTACAGTGCAGGTTATCTGTCCAAGGAAATTTTCAGGACTCTCAAGTTAGTACGGCTCCCACTGAAAAGGAAATTTTCAGGACCCTCTCAAGCTAGTACGGCTCCCACTGAAGTCTGTGCTGCTGCGTTTTCACTGTTGCCACTCCACAAGCTAGCTCAGCTATGCTTACATACATTGCATTCACCTTTCTGCGCTACTGACTTCAAATTTACTAGATTGGATCCTGTGTCCCTCTTGCTCACCCCTTCTGTACATATTCATATTATGGCTCTGGACTATTGTGAGCTCCTTGTACCCTAAGTTCTTGCTTCAGGCCCCTTTCCCTGACTGTAGTGAGTCACCCCGCCTATTCCCCCCTCCCCCCCTCTGCCCCACCCCAACTATCTAACATGTCAACTTAGTGAAACTGGCCTTATCTAGCTATTCCCTCTCCTCCAACCCCGGCTTCAGTACGGGCTTCCCGTCTCCTCAGTGCCTCATCTTTTCACGCTCCCCCAGAGGCCCCCAGAGCCCCTGCAGTCTGGCTGCCGCAGGTGCTCTCCCTTCTCTGATCCGAGCCTCCCTCCCCCTGCCATACCGAGACCCCTGTGTCCCACACCCCCGTCCACCCCAGCAACTCGCAGGCTGACCTGCCACCAGCTGGCAGTCTGGGCTCCCCTGTGAACGTGAAGATGAGACAGCCCCAGCCGTGCTGCCTACCACCATCTCTGCACAGACTGTACCCCTGCCTAAAGCTGCAGCTCTCCATCTCTGACCATCTCCTAAAATGCTTTATCCTTCACACTGCCAGTGTGAAAGAGGGAGCTTTTAGGGAAATTGAGAGGGAAGGTGGAGAGGGAGACACACACATATACACACACGCAGATTAGAGGCGAAAGACCTCATGAAATTCTCCTGAGGCATCACAAGCCCTAGCATTTTGTGTCCTCCCAAGGAATCTGACTCCCTGTTTTGATGTTGATAGGAAGAGACCAGTCCCAGTCAGTGGGTAACACAGAAATCTGCCTAAAGAATATCTTCAATGCAGTCTTAGTATATGATAAGCTGATATGAATTCTCTTAAATAATAGAGAATAATGAACACCATTTTGTTGAATGACATTCAAAAATTAAAAGGAAATCTAGGATTGTCTCACTGTTATGAAAAGGTATGTAATGAAGTCAAATATGAGCGAAAAAATATTTAACTTCCATGATTACAATTTATTCCTCTAGAGAATATTATGAGCCAGATCTTTGGATTTTGTAATCAATGGAACCATATTCACACCAGCCCAGCACCGACTGAAAACAGAAAATTTGTTTCCTATAGAAAAAAAAAAAAGGCTTTGCATATAGTGTACTAGTGGTTTAGAATAATTCATGCATACAAAAATCTGACCCTGTAGCACTCAGATCAGATCACTGCTAAGATCAGTGAGAAGTAAGATACCTACTGAATAAATACAGGTCATACGTGTCAAAACTGCCACAGGCAGTTCGGGTTGTTATTTTTGTCCAAGATGTGGACTGCCTGCAGCTAACTTAACTCTCATATTAGAACTCCAAATTTCTTTTATTCCTTCCCCAAGCTTTGGATAGTTTTTCATCCCTGAAAAGACACACCCATTTTCTTAAAATGAGCATTACCCATAGGAGGGAAAAGGCAGACAATGCTATGTCATTCCTTGTTACTCAAAACACAAGGTAAAATAGGGTGCAGATGGCACCAGAATGTGGCCCACAGAATGCCTCCTCAGCCTCAGAAATACTAATTCAAAACCGTCAGTACTGCAAGCTGTCAACGCACACAGCATAATTCTCACTTAAACAAATTAATAAAACTTGAATAGTGATCAGACTTTCCATTTTAACTCTATTTTCTATCAGACAGAAGTGCTGTCTCCAATACAAAAGTCATTGATAGTTAAAATTAAAAATTCAAAAGTATTATCAGTACTACAAGTATTGATCTATTGCAAAAAAAAAAAAGTTTTATAAATAACTGAACAACTTGAAAGTTGTTCTTAAAATATTAGAAAAGATCACTGTATGATTATCCTAATTGTTGGAGTCTATCTATCTACTGTTTTGCAATGGCAAATACTACTCCAATTCAGGATGTGTTGCATTTAAACTAACAAAAGTAATAAAGAGTAGGTGCCTGTGGTGTTATGCTGCCTTATGAATTTTCAGTCAATGTTAATTTACTATAGGAAAAAAAAAAAAGATGCCCTTTTCCTAAAATGTGGGATAGAGTAGGGAGCTTTTGCAAGCTATCTCCCACTTCCTAGCTGTGCTAGATGGACGCGTGACTTCTGTGTTCGTCAATGTGAAGGTCCAGACGTAGATTCCTACCTCCCACTGATATCAATGGGAATTAGAAACCAAAGCAACTTTGAGTATTTTTTTTTCCACAAGAGGAAAGGAAAACTGGTTTCGAATTATTCCAGCCAGCTCTATTCCATTCAATGTAAGAGCAATTTGGAGAAACCTAGTTGTCCCTTTCCATTATGACTTGAAAGTGATCTAGTCTATTGTGCATGTGTAAGCCAAGTGCACTAGCAAGGTTGACCCAACATGCTTTTCTCAGTCTTACTAGGTTATGGAAGGAGTTAATTCTGTTTCCACTTTATTTTCAAACTAAGTTACAGATTGTCTCCTAGGGTTCCCAGCTACATATGGATTTAAGGCAGACTTCTTATTTGGAAAGAATCTAAAATATTTGATGCTGTGAGGTAGCACCACAACATAATGGAATAGCAGTCACTTTTCATAGAGGAAACCCTAATCTATTTATTTCCCTTTGAGAGCTATGGCCTTTGGTTCTACAGATTATTGTACATGTGGCACTTATTCATTCTTGTTATGAAAGAAAATTACTTATTACGAAAGGACCTTTCCAGTTTTTCTTAAACACTAGTGTGTGGTCTAAGCAGTAAAACTGCTGTGGGCAGTTCATTTGAAACTGTATTCGTGCATTACTTTTTGTATTACAGTTTTTAGTTAATTTCAATATTTCCAACTGCTGCTCTAATAATGGACTAGTTCATTTGGTTTTGACTGTTCATTCAGTAGGTTTTTGTATGAACCTTTCAAAAGCATGTTCTGCATTTATAAAAGAGGTTAAAGTTAATCTTCAGAAGTATCAGCTTCCTAGCTTTTACCAAGACAAATGCTAGCCATGGTTATCAACTTTATAAATGCCCAGTTAGTCATCTGTTTTTCCCCGGCATTACTGACTACCAGCTCTTCTTTTAAATATTGATGGCATGGGCATGCTTCTTGCACAGTGGCTTATCCTTCTTGGAGTAAAATGGCTGACCTTCCAAATTCACATGGCATACCTAGAATTAATAATAAACACAATCAGGAATCATAAAAAAAAAGAGAGAGAGAGAGAGAGAGAGAGAGAGAGAGAGAGACGTGATTATCAATTTCAACTGTATTTCTGTTCTGCCCACACATTTCTTTGGCAGAAGTGCATCTGATTTCCTGGATCAAAGTGCATGCCTTGGTAGTTTTCCTGCTCCATGTTGAGGTTAGGCTCTGGTTTGCATCAGCTCTCCTCTCTGTACTTTCCTGCCACCACTACCCACTAAATTCACTAGTTTCCATTAAAATGATGTCTGGGTACAGGATCCCCTAGGCATCTTTGGCATGTCCCAGCAGTGCTTGTGTAGACCATCAAAGGATAGTGGCACACTCGAGTGCGTGCAGCTAGCTCAGACTTTAAGACTTAGATTCTGATTCTTGTAATGTATGATTTTACAAAAGCTCTGGTTAGGTGCCAAGGTCCCAGGGGTACCATCCTGCCATAGTACCATTAGATACTCATTCCTATTATTACTTTGTCTTGGTACAGGCGCTTATGTGGTCAAGGAGTGGGTCATTCAGACAGCTGGTATGATTGAAAACTAATTACTTATTCTTACCAGGTTATTCTTCAACCCATAGAGTTTTCTGCCTGGCTGCGTAAGTGCTGGTGTTGACATAAAAAAGCATGTGAGAATGCATGGCCAAGGCAGGGCAGCCCAGGTTTAGATCAGCTTAAAGTGCCCTGGAATTGTATGGGTATCTACACAGGGTAGTGCAACACCACTTGCAAGGTCAGAGGAGGTCAACACATCAGAATCTAGGAATAAGAATGTACGTTGTCCCTAAGGCTTATGGCAGGTTTAAGACCACTGAATGGTAACATCAGTGATGTGCTACTGCAAGTGAAAGGAAAATCACGTGAAAGGGTATGAGGACAGCATATTAGAAATTGAGTCATGTGTTTATTTACATTTGACTTAACCGACTGAAAGAAATAAAGTTAGCTCCTAACAAAAAACGCTGTGAGAACTGCATTAACAAAACTGTCACCTCCACAGAAAATTGGGTTGCTAATTTAAATAAATACATAAGAATGCAGTTAAATGAACAAGTAAAAAAGAACGTGAAATATTCAGACAAATTGTCTTTTGTAAGTGACTAATAGCTTTTAGTTTGTGAAGGAAACTGACTCTTTTAGTATTCCTTTCTACGTTAGAATTTCAAAAAGACTTCCATTTTCACAGGACACTTTTGTGTCACCCGCTTCCATGTACCCTTGAAAGACCAGTAGCTAGTTTAGGTTTAGATATTTATAAACATTTCTATATTTTCTGCTCTTCAACCTAAATTTTAGAGTTCAACAAACATTAGAAATTGTCACTGTCATTTTTGGTGTGGCCAACATACTATTTTTAGCTAATTAGAGGTTCTAGATATTATTACCTTAGGAATAATATGTTGTAGAGAAGCACAGCTGTATTAGAACCATATGAAAAATACTGTTTATCATATGGATTTTACTGCTTTGTGTGCAGAGTGTGGGAATATGGCCACACTATATAGCTGTATGCACGCCACAGATTGATGAGTTTGACCAACTTCTATGCTAATTACTATTCATTCTCTCTAAACAGACTCCTTTTTGCAAGTTTCAACAAGCATTCTGCATGAAAATACAAACTGCACTGCTTTGTAAGTAAGATTATGGCTATACTGTTCAGTGTGGTGTTAATTTATTTTAAATCCTGCTTTGTCTTCATTTGGTAAACATTTGAAAGAATAACAGCAATAGTGCTATGTATTACTGTATGTACTCTCTAAAACTGGACGTTTTATTAGAAAGCACTCAGTTGTTATGGTCAAATTTAATAATTCTAGTAAAAGTTTATGGAGGAGAAGAGAAATGAGTCCCATCCTTCTTCATCTGCAAGAAAAAAAATGAAATTCAATCCCTCTGCATCCTTAGGCATATGTTAGTCAACCTGCTGTCAGGTCTTCTGATGTTACTTCACGATTTATGAGTATAAAGAAATGAGATAGTATTTGGTATAGAACCTACAGCACAAATGAAGCAGGTATCATGCCAAGTGTGTCCAAGAGCTTCAATAAATTTATCTCCAGCTTCAACAGGAAAATCACAGCCATGGCATTTTGTGCTGAACAAAGCAATGTAATCTAAAATAAAACAAAAAGCAAATTTAGAACAAACTCTTAATGTAATCGCATTAAATCCAAGAGAAATAGAAAGTTTCCAGAGGATAAATTTTTGGATTGTTTTTGCTCAGAGTTTCCTACTACATTCACTGAAACACTCACACTGAAATTTGCTTCTTTTCTTTCATTATTTAAATGCGAACTCAGTGCAAAACTCCACATCAGCACGACAGTTACCATCACAAACATAGAAAATGAACAAAAATTCATGATATCTGAAGTTATGTTTCTCACAATAGTTTTAAATTAGCTTTAATGTATGTGGAAGCTATTCAGAAGAACAAACGTGGTCGTACAAAACACAGTCTAATGGCCAGTGAGCGTTACCTTAAGGGTGGTATAGAAGCATAGTTTAAATTTCCATGACTGGATTTATGTTCTCTCTGCATTAAGAGAGAATATTATGGAAACCCCATACTGGCTGGTTAATACATCTTTACTCTGAATATCAAATGCAATTTGGAAAGACTTGACATTGAAAAATATTAGCAGAAATTCTAAAGCTATATAGAATTCATAAGAGTCATTAGAGGTTATGGCAAACCTTCCAATTTTAAAGGGTAGGTGCCAAGATTTGTAAAATTTGATTTGCGCAACCATAAGGAAGGAATCACCACAGAGAAGCAGGCCAGAAGCTCGTTAAATGGACAAGGCAGGGCTTACAGAGGGAATACCACTTAAACTTTAACCTGCTTCCTGACCATGCCAGGCAACTCATTTGCTTGGCAAGCACCATTTATTAAACCATATTATGCTTTCCATAGTTTGGGAAAACCTGGTCTTTTCCTTTCTTAGCAGGCAACAGGCAGTTCATTTGTTGCAACACTCAGAAAACAAAATCTGTACTACCATGTGTTGCACATCTGAGCAGAGCTATCTTTTCATAGATGTTGGTTGATCAGTTTTTGGGTAAGGTAGCAGTATCAGAGGTCATAATTCAAGCAACTTAGTAGAGAGAATGTGAGCAGTAACCCACACATACTGTATAGAAGTGCTATCAGAACGCTAAAAAAAGGGTTTTTTTCAGCCCATAACGTGTAGATTTCTAGTGAGCAGAATCTACCAGGGAAAAGAAGGGGAAAGGAAAAAATGTGTAGGGAGAGAAATGGCAGGTAAGTATCATAATACATAAGGGAGAGAAATGAGGTAAGATGTTCTGGGACATAGAGGCAAAAGACCAGCACTTTCCCAGTGTATCATATGAAGTGGAGAAAAATACAGAGAGGGAAACACTTGTATATGCAGAGTGGAAACAAAATCCATGCTGGATAGGTAACTAATTTTATTTTGTTCATCAGCTGCTTTATTTTTATGTTGCTTCCATACAACATGAAGCACATGATTACTGAGCAGAACTGTCCAGTTTGCCATACCTTTCTCACAGTAAGGTTCCCCATCCTCCATGTGAAAGAGGCTGTTCCCAAACGGCATCTTACAAGCAGCACAGACAAAGCAACTTGTGTGCCAAGTCTGTTTTAGGGCATGCATCACTTCCTGTAAAACAAACAAACAAACAAAAATCTCCAGCAGAACAGCATGCCCTGCAACTACCTACTGGAGAAAAACAGAAGGCAGAGATGCTCTAAATTTTTCCCTTCTGTATCAGCCAATTGCCCTCCTCAAAAGAAAGAAGTATGACAGAAATTGGGCTCCTTTGGAAAGAAAGAGAAAACAGGACTGCAAACTTTCTAGAACAATGCATTTGCCAAAATGAAACAACATAGTTCAGCCAGCTGTTTGTATCAACATGCCCAGTCGCTGTTGCAGGAGAGATTCTGCACAAAGATTCTGATTATTTTCTCCTTTGTTTTGGCATGACTAGTATGAACTCTTCAATGCAAGAGTATGATTTGTTAAATAAATTTTAAAGAGTAATTTTTCTCTAAGACCAAGAAATGCATGCAGGGGATAAGTCATTTAAGTCTGATGTTTCAAAGCAATTTAGATTATGTTCTAATTTCTTCAAAATTGTCTGTTCCTAGGCCATGTGTTCATCACAAAAATCCAAATTCTGTGCAACTGATGTTCTTTTTAACTGAGTACCCAGATTTTATCAGCCTCTTTCTTCTACCAGTATGGAGCAATCTCTGTTACTGCTTCATTCTTATCTTGTCATACAGAAGTCCTCCAAGTCCAAAAGCTGCTGTACTGAGGTCTGATGCATGGTTACGTGCTAATTTGTCAATCTTGCTTGTGCCCAAGACGATGTTCAACAGTGTATCTCTGTTAAACAGTCCAGATTTCAAAGGGCCAGCTGCGTAACTGGTGTTAATTAATTTAACTTTGTTAACTTCAGTGAAACAGGATTGATTTACACCAGCTGAGAATCTAGATCCTATTTTATGTTGCTTCCAGTTATATACGTAGACTCTGATTCTCTTTTAAAGATTATTTTTAATCTCCATTGACTATGGCAAAAGGGATCGAAGTCCTCTTCCATGCTTTCAATCCAGTGAATAGACAAAATAGTCTAATTTATGTTTGCCATATATCTCATTAGAGAATCACCATTTGAGATTCATTAACTTCTGTTACTGTTTGCAAAACAACTATCACTGATAAATAGGTTTGGATCCATTTATGAACCTCACTGAGCTAAGAAGCAAAAAACAGATTGAGAAATCTTATTAATATAAATAGAGGCAGCTGGCATCTTTGCTATTTTCCTGATGAAAATCCATAATGGGGAACTGATTTGTGCCAGCATTAATTAGGTAAGTTAAGTCAGTACTCTGCTGTAAAATTACTCCTATTGCCCCAGCAGCAAACAAGACATGGTCGGAGCCAGAGCTTCACCATAGATGTCTAATGCTGCCATCCCTAACTGGCAATTGCAGAGAAGAGCACCTAGTCTGTCAATGCCAACGTTTAGACAGATGTCAAGAGGTGGCAGCTAAGCAGCGAAAAACCAGTGTGCTACTCTGTGCTTCCTCATTTAAGAGAATCATGTCATATATTCACTATAACTGTATGCATAAATACACTGCTAAAATTATCTTATGGTATTCCAACCTCATCACCATCTAAGGTATATGTAGAGCAAATTTACTTGTACCTAAGCATGAGTACATTGAGACAAAAGTGGCATCTATTTTTGCCTTTCTGGAATTCAGATCTTTGTATTTAATCTGTATTTTCTTAACTATAAGAAGCCAGCAGAATTCCTCTTGGCAGCTGTGTTGCTAGCTACCAGTGAGGTGCAGCAAGAGCAATGGGCCTCTTCCCAAGGTCACTGACTTCTCCATTGAAATTTAGACTAAGTCCTGTATAAGAAAAAAACCCTCCAGTTCAACACTCTTACTACAAATATAAGGAAAAGATAGATAAAAGTGACATAGCATGTATCGGATAGTAAAGAACTATCCAGAAAGTGTTACTTACTTTACACTCAGTGAGATGGTAATTAGATTAAATGTTCTGTCTATGAGTTGAATAAGGTACAGAAATATCCAAGGTTTCGGTTAAATAAAAATTGTTATAAAATAAGATGTTTCTTATTCTGAAATAATCAACAGGCTGGGATATTATTATTAAAAATGAGAAAATAATGAAATATCTACATTCATTGCTTACAGTCTCAACTATTTCACTATTTCAGTGAACCACGCAGTTGGAGAAAGGGTTAAGGTTGTTCTCTTACCCCCATGATCTTAGTGTGGCATCTGGCACAGGTTGGTGCAAAGAACTGTTCATAACAGCGCTCACAGTACACACTATTCTGCTCTTCCACAAAGCACATATCAGCCAAGGATGTCTTGCAATAAGCACAATTGAATTCTTCTGGGTGCCAAGAGCGACCCATGGCTACCAGGAAAGGACCCCTACAAACAATCATAATTATCTTATTTGTATTGCAAAAAGATTGAATGACCCTGACTATAAATCCACTTTGTTAGACACCACGTACATATATAACAAGCATTCTGCATGAACCACAAAGGTGCATGTTAAAATAAGGTCCAGAAGCCTGAACAGAAATGGTCTTTTTCAAGATCATTACTCAAACACTTTGCCAATTAATTAAAATATTTCATTATTGTTTAGTCATATACATTGGATTTACAGACAACTGTTGGAAAAATCATCAATTGTTTTCATATCTGCATAGCTATAAGTGGTCTTTGTAAACAGCTGTAAAGACAACAGGAAAAGACCAAGGGTTGTAACACAGAAGATAATGCTACTATTTGAAAGCATGAAAAAGCAGGCAAATTTCCAAACCTACACACCCACACCTCACAATAGCTCCTCAGGTCTCCTGCCTTCTTTTCACCTGAGAGAGCACTGCATGCGGCATGTTCTAGAAATGTCAGACTATCAGATGACAACTTGCTGTTTGATTATATGGAACACACATTAAATTCGTTTTGGTGATTTACTCTTGATTGTAATTAGATACAGTGACTATTACTGGAGTCTTTCCATTTCAGAATATATAAAGGGCAACAATCAGCAGTTCCACATCACCAAACTAGCTCCTTTTAGTGGGGGAGACTGTCATTAAACATGGATTACTTAAAGTTGGTTCGCAGTCCACAGGGTAACAATGGGCACCAGTCCAGCAGAATGAATTGGGAGAGGAGAAGGGAGAGGCATGCTATGAATCACTGGTAATAGAGTGTAGGCATTATCTTTCTCCAGACACAAAAGCAACAATTACGTTTGGCTGCTGTTCCAAAATGATGCCTCATTCCTTTTCTCCTCTCCCCCAGCCCCCCAACTCTCCCAATGAAGTTGTACGTACCTCCTTCAAGGGGTAGTTAGGACCAGAAACTTGTTTAAAAAACAAACAGTGATTTGCCACATCATCCATGAAACAAACAATTAGCATGTATAACTTTGCAGTGATAAAAAGCGAACCACACAACAGCAAAATGAGCTCTGGAAATGTTAAATTAATGAAGCAGACAACAGACATCCCTGCTGGGTAATTTAACTGAGTCTTAGGCTCTGGTACTGTATATTAATGTACAATAACCAGTCTCTCTGATATTTTTTTTCTGCTTCATCTCTCTTCAAAACCTCATGACCTTACCGAATTATGCTGTTACAGTGCCCACAGAGAGGAGTTCGGCTGCTGGCTGGAAAACGCTCAGCCCTCTGAACTGTTCCCCGGGCTATTGCAGGAGCCTGGGAAGAAGTTGACACTGGAGATGGGTAAGCAGAAGTTGAGGCAGGAGATGGTACCGGAGCACCCCTTGGTAGGATGTGCTTTGTGACAGTGGTGGTGGTTTTTCCAGGTGCAAATTTCTGGGAAAAGGAGTCATCTGTTACCCATGGAGGGCGACTTGCAGGCTCAGCGTTGGCAGGGGTGTAGGAATGAACTGGTGCTGGTGCTGTTTTAAGTATCCCAAAAGAAACCAAGAATCATTTTAAAATCTTTTCTTCTGATGTCAAAACAGCAACACTTACCAAAGGGTACTCCATGACACAGAAAAAACAAAAGCTTCAGATGACACTTAGTTATGGTCTGTCCCATTATTGCTCATTAATTCTGGACTGAAGCCAAGGGTATCAGCACAATCACTGACCTAACCCACATGCATTACAGAAGTCATTGCCTACTGGCTTTTACAGATTTTATGGAGACCATTTTCAAGGGCATCTCTTCATTTTCTAGTAGGAGTGGATATGACAACTCTGTGATAATTTCAAAGACTGCCATATAATCTGTTTAAGACAGGTTAAAAACAGAAAGGCCAAATCATGTAATAAAGTTTTAGATGGAATTCCCCATAATTTCAATAGGAAGTTATGCTTAAATTTTTGATCTCATTATATTCATTAAAATGCAGCGTTTTCCACAGACGTCACTGTTATCTGTCATTCGTAGGTTTTACTCCTAGGTTTCTGAAGAAGAACAGGCTCACACAAGGAACACAGAGAGAGAGAGCACTGGAAGCAATAGTGAGGGAGCCAGTTCAGCTCACATGACCAGCAAGACAAAGCCAACAGCACTTAGAGGAAGGCCAGACGTGCGGTTATGACTGCTCTCAGTTCAGTTCTTGGCTCTGCCACAGACTTCCTGTATAACTTCGAGCAAAGCGTAATATCTCTGTGCCTCAGTTCCCATGTATAAAATAGAAATATTATACTTCCTTTCTTCCACCCTTTGACTATCACATAAAATCTTCAGTGCAGACTGCCTCTGTGTTTGTAATGCACCAGACTCTAATCTTGGGTGGAGCTTTATCACATAAAAATAAGCAGAAGCTAGAGCCTGCACATACCGACAAGTTTTCCCATTGCCCTGCTCTTTTCAAAACATCAGATCTTGCATTGTGTAGGACTGAAGTCACTGCCCAAGAAACTGCCTCACTTTGCCAAGTACAGGAGCACTAAAAACAGTTTTTCCTTTGCAAGGAAAACAAAGAAGTGAATGATTGTTGGTTTGTGTGAGGAGGAACAGAAGCTTGGAGAGCTGAAGTGTTTTGCCCAAATGAGAAAGCACAGATTTGGGAACAGAAGTCAGTTCTCCTGCAGTCTAGGCAAACACTCTGGGTAGTAGATCCCAGTGCCAATAAAATGATGACCAAATACAACATTTACAGTTTCAAGGGGTTTGCAGGTAGAAAGGTATTTCAACCAAGAAGAGTGTTCTGAATGTAACATAGATCTTTCTGGATAATTAAGTGGTGAGCAGATTATCTTCTACTTAACACTCCTCCCTTAGCCCACACCCTGCCACACGGAATAACATACGCTGATTATTGGCAATTGCAGGTGCTTAAATTGCATATCTATCAATCCACTGTGATCACCCAGTGATCACTGATTGTCTTCTTTTTATTGACTTCAGAGCTGAATCTAATGCATCTTCTTGATAAAACTTTCTTATGCTACAGCATCAACAAACTTTCTGCTTCATAAAACTGTATCCCACCTTAGCTTGAGGCTTCTTTTTTTTTTTTTTTTATTTTGGGAACGGGAAACAGGGTTTAAAAATTTTAAAACACACGGAATAACATACGCTGATTATTGGCAATTGCAGGTGCTTAAATTGCATATCTATCAATCCACTGTGATCACCCAGTGATCACTGATTGTCTTCTTTTTATTGACTTCAGAGCTGAATCTAATGCATCTTCTTGATAAAACTTTCTTATGCTACAGCATCAACAAACTTTCTGCTTCATAAAACTGTATCCCACCTTAGCTTGAGGCTTCTTTTTTTTTTTTTTTTAATTTGGGAACGGTAAACAGTGTTTAAAGATTTCAGAACAGAGAGTTTATATGCAATCTCTTTAAACCCTGGGGCTGTTGCTATTTATGTATTACGGTATTAAGCTAGGCAAAATTAGAAGGCAATATTTCATCTCTAATTGGTGAGTTCAAAAGGCTCCCACCTATGAGGCTCTCTAATTAAATAAGGTGACTTCTGGCTCACTCAGCTTTATGAAAGGATTCTCCCTCCCCCAAGAGACAATCGTTGTTCATGCAAAGTACGGCAGTGTATCCCACCGGGGCCCTAACAAAACGGTCAGGTATTCAAACCCAGAGTTCCAGAAGTGAAGAACAAACGCAGTCCAGGTACCATTTTTAGGATGTCTTTTTCTATCATTGTCTTTAGTAAATTCAGCTTACAACCTCTTAATTTTTCACTTTTTCTTCCTTAATCTCACAGTGTTGACGTTTTATTTTTCCAGTTTGTTTATTCCAACCAATGTAGACAGCATATGATTTATCTGGGTTCAGATTAATCTAGACTTCTTTGAAGGAAAAACACTGGGGAAGGGTCTTTGTCTTTCATTCTCTCTACCTTCTATTTCTTCTTACTCTATCTATCTTTTCTACTTGCCATGGTAAAATAAAGCAGCAAAGTAAATTTTTTTTCCAGTTGCTGAAAGAAGATACCAGCAGAATTACTGCAACATGACAAATGTTGGGTGTTCGCAACTGCTCTGAGCTCTCTTTTCAGCCACTATCATCTAATTTTATAGGCTGGATTTATTACAACATATTTTCCTCCTGTGAACAGGCTGGAATTACTGTTGATTTAAAATAGTGCCATTTCAATGTATTAGAAAGCTTTCACTAACTTTGAGATTTTAGCTATTGTTATTAAGAGGGAATTATTATCTTGTTATCTTATAGCTATATCCCTAAGCTTATAGGAACAATTCTCTTGTCTTAGTAGCTACTGCCATACAAATTCATCTTGCATGTTTATGTATTTCAAAGTTTTCCAACATATATGCAGCAGATAAAAGGTGCTGTTTGCTGGTAAAAAGTACTAAGATTCAGTATATCAGAGAATAGATTCTCAAAATATCAGTGTTGTATGAGCTGACCCTTAACTGTTCAAAAATGAATAAATAATTCAGTAACCCAGCCTCTGTCACCTTGCTTCTCTCAGCCCTCAGACTCTCTCCTACTATAAGTAGGAGACAAAGAATGGGACTATTGTTATCTTGTTATCTCTTTTAACAGCCCTAGGAACAAGCCAATTCCTTGCTTCTGGGGAATTTGGAGTTCTCCCTATCAGTTCTTCATTTATGGTCAATGGATATTTTCCCTTCAGAAAAAAAAGCTGTGTTACCAAAGATTCATTTAGTAAAGATTCATATAGTCTCACATGCTTTAGTCTTTAGTCTTACATACTAGCTCACACTGTGAGAACAATTTCCTTCTTATTTTCTCTGTTAGTAGAACACATAATTGTTAGTAATAATTTTCCAGTAACAAATGTAATTCATAATCACAACTGATTTGGCTTGTTCTACACTTAGTGGCCGCATCACTGAAGCCCAAAGTTTTCCTATATACTGTTGAGTATATAATAGATGCCAGACAAAGCAGATAACGCAACAAGTCCTTTATAAGACACGATTCTTATTTAGAAGAATTTAAAATGGTAGATGGTACATAACCTGCTGTTTTAGTCTTGAAGGTTCTTAGGATTCAGTGAAAAGTTCATTGAGATCTGTGGGAATCTTTCTACCAATTTCTAACAGAGCGGATCAGGCCTTTACACTCGAGCACTTGTACATATATGAGTAGTCCTATTTGGACTTACGGATTTAAAAGGAAAGATCTGCTTTCTTACTTTTAGCTATCGTTACTTTGTAGTATAAAGCTAGCGTTTGGGTTGCTTGGAATATATGAAAGCACTATTCTAGTCTGGGAAAGCCTATAAGAAAGGAATACACAAGTATTTTCTGCCATCTAGTGGACCTTGTTCAGAAAAGAAATCTATGCTCCTTTTAAAAATGGGTTATGAAATTTACAGGACAGAGAAGGGGAAAGATTATGGAGTTCACAGCTTTCCCTATAGGGAGAAAACAAAGCAGCAGAAAATTCCCATCAGAGTTAGGTTAGTGTAAATAGTACTCTTTCTTTGCTTTAAAGTGTAGACTTACTGAGTACTCCTATCTGAGCCAGGTACTCAACAATGCAGTTTCATTTTGAGATTGGCTTCAGTTTAACCAAACTTAGCCCCATTATTTTTTGCAATCTGAGACAGATTAACATAGTCTTGTAAACCCTCTTAGTGATTGATTCCGGTTTCTGGATATTGCATATATGAGGCTGTTGGTGGATGTTTTAATCTGGAAGTTGCTGGCTCACATTTTTAAGGGAAGCAAGTCATCTCATTCCCATTAACACTGAGGGCTAGCGTAAAAGCACTCCTCTTCTAAATTCTACATTGCAAATTCTTATAGTAATCTCCACTATTTCAGCCTTTTCACACAGTGGATTTACAAAAGTAGAAGTCTAAGAAATTATTTGCTAAAGTGAGAGTGCATTTATTGCAAAAGCCTGAGGTTGCACTTAGACTGGAAGAAAAAGATAGGTTTTGTGATCTCATATGTCATCATCTGAGAACAGCTGATCCTCTCAGATTGAGGCTGCATTTTACACCGCAAGACAGAATTTATATGAATTGACAAAGTTGGGTGAGGAAGTTTTCTAACTGTCTTGAAGATTTGTTTCAAAGTACTATTGATCTTTCCCATCTGTCACAGTAAACGCTGTTTCCTCCATTACTTCCCAAGTGACCCTTTCCTGTTTGCTCAGGACTCCAACTGCAACCATCTTTAGGGCCAGCTCATGTTCTAAAATCAGTATGAAGTGCTACTACATCAAATATATAAAACTTTAAAAAGGTACCAAAACAAAACCCAAACATCTTCAATAAAATATCTTTCTTTAGCCTCTTTTGTACCTGAGTCACTTTGGGGTTCAATTACGGAGGTATTTTAGAATCCTTTATTGTATATCTCAAACTCCTAAACAATACAGGGAGACTTACTGTTTCTTTCTCTGCCGACTTGAATGCTATTTGAATTTTGTCTTTGTAATATAGCACATTGCATATTACTCTTAATTTGCTCCTGTCCTCTAGAATACATTATATCCTTGCAGTGCCTGCAAAATAAGAATTTTCCACACACAGGCAGACAATACATACAAGTTGAAGCAAGTTCTTTGTATACCTAGTGACACAGAACATAGTTTCCATACTGTGTATTTTAAGCCTTTATTGGGAGGCAATGGGGCTCAAAACCAGCAATATAAGGAATTGCAAAGATGATGCCCATCACAGGAGAAAACAAAAGCATTGCCTCTTATTCTGAGTCTAATTCAACAGCCAGTTTTTTCTTTTTTCTTCTTTCTAACAGATACAGCTACTAATTGGATATAGCTACTAATTTATTTCTGTGGCAGGTTTGTATATTGAGAACTGGAGTTTATATTTCCCCCAAATCAACATGGGGCTTAGTATCAGTCAGTGTATTTAGGAGATATTTTGACTTGCCACAGTTTGCTCTGTTCTGCATTATGGAAATAAATCCCTTGTCTTCATCTTTCCTTTTTTTGCAAGACAAAAATAACAACATTTGCCTTCAGTGAGAACATGGTATTTGCTGACACACTTAACCAAAAGCAAATGAGGAGAAGCTGAAACCTTTATTGGCTTTGAGACTCTTAAATAGCTCACGATAGTTCTGAACTGGCTTTTTCTGCCTTTATATCTCAAATACAAAGATCAATGAACTGATCTGTCTGTCTGCTTTATGTCTAAGTTTGCACTGGTTTCATTTCAGTAGATCCAGAGATAGAGCATTACAGAAGACAGAGTTTAAGATTGTTTGAATTCTTGGCCTTTTCATATTTACTTGACTGTCAAGATATAAATGAACTTTTTAATTCTTTTGCGAAGATCAGAACAAGCTTAATTTGAAACAGAACTGCATTTAGACTTACATTGCTGCCTCATTTAATTTGTTCGTTTTGAAGGTTTGCATTTTGGTCATCAATGGTTTTAGAAGTTCACTCCATTTGTAACACATTAATACAAAGGGAATTTAAATAACATCAAGGAGCATATTTTCCACATGAATGAATAATCATAGAATGGTTTGGGTTGGAAGGGACCTTAAAGATCATCTGGTTCCAACCCCCCTGCCATAGGCAGGGACACCTTCCACTAGACCAGATTGCTCAAAGTCCCATCCAACCTGGCCTTGAACACTTCCAGGGATGGGGTATCCATAACTTCTCTGGGCAACCTGTTCCAGTGCCTCACCACCCTCATAGTAAAGAACTTCTTGCTTGTATCTAATCTCAATCTACCCTCTTTCAGTTAAAGCCATTACCCTTTGTCCTATCATTATGTGCCCTTGTAAAAAGTCCCTCTCCAGCTTTCTTGTAGGGCCCCTTCTGGTATTAGAAGGCTGCTATAAGGTCTCCTTGGAGCCTTCTCTTCTCCAGGCTGAACAACCCCAACTCTCTCAGCCTGTCCTCATAGGAGAGGTGCTCCAGCCCTCTCATCATCTTCATGGCCCTCCTCTGGACTTGCTCCAACAGGTCCATGTCCTTCTTATCTTGAGGGCCCCAGAGCTGAACACAGTACTCCAGGTGGGGCCTCACGAGAGTGGAGCAGAACGGGAGGACACCTCAACCAGCTGGCCATGCTTCTTTTGACGCAGCCCAGGATACAGTTGGCTTTCTGGGCTGTGAGCGCACATTGCCGCGTCATGTTGAGCTTCTTATCAATCAACATCCCCAAGTCCTTCTCCTCAGGGCTGCTTTCAATCCATTCTCCGCCCAGCCTGTGTTTGTGCTTGGGATTGCCCCGACCCATGTGCAGGACCTTGAGCTTGGCCTTGTTGAACTTCATGAGGTTTGCACGGGCCCAACTCTTCAGCCTGTCAAGGTCCCTCTAGATGGCATCCCTTCCCTCCAGTGTGTGGACTGCACCACACAGCTTGGTGTCGTTGGCAAACTTGCTGAGGGTGCACTCAATCCCACTGTCCATGTCACTGCCAAAGATGTTAAACAGCGCCAGTCCCAATGCCAACCCCTGAGGAACACTGCTCATCACTGATCTCCACTTGGACATCGAGCTGTTGATCGCAATTCTTTGAGTGCAACCATCCAGCCAATTCCTTATCCATTGAGTGGTCCATCTGTCAAGTCCATGTCTCTCCAATTTAGAGACAAAGGGGGGATGTCATGTGGGACAGTGTCAGATGCTTTGCACAAGTCCAGGTAGATGACATCTGTTGCTCTTCCCTTACCCACCAATGCTGTAACCCCATCATAGAAGGCCACCAGATTGGTCAGGCACGATTTGCCCTTAGTGAAGCCATGTTGGCTGTCACCAGTCACCTCTGTATCTTCCATGTGCCTTAGCATAGTTTTCAGGAGGATCTGCTCTGTGATCTTGCTGGGCACAGAGGTGAGACTGATTGGCCTGTCGTTCCCCCAGTCTTCTGTTTTTCCTTTTTAAAAATGGGTCTTATGTTTCCCCTTTTCCAGTCAGTGGGAACTTCACTGGACTGCCACGACTTCTCAAATATGATGGACAGTGGCTTAGCAACTTCATCCGCCAGTTCTTTCAGGACCTGCGGATACATCTCATCAAGTCCCATGGACTTGTGCACCTTCAGGTTCCTTAGATGGTCTCGAACCTGATCTTCTCCTACAGTGGGTGATTCTTCATTCTCCCTCCCAGTCCCTGCCTTTGCCTCCTGCAATTTGGGCAGTGTGGCTTAAGCACTTGCTGGTGAAGACTGAGACAAAAAAGTCGTTGAGTACCTCAGCCTTCTCCATATCCCGGGTAACCAGGTCTCCCATTTCCTTCTGGAGAGGGCCCACATTTTCCCTAGTCTTCCTTTTATCACCAATGTACCTATAGAAGCTTTTCTTGTTGCCCTTGACATCCCTGGCCAGATTTAATTCTATCAGGGCTTTAACTTTCCTAACCCGATCTCCGGCTGCTCGGACAATTTCTCTGTATTCCTCCCAGGCTACCTGTCCTTGCTTCCACCCTCTGTAGGCTTCCATTTTGTGTTTGAGTTTGTGCAGGAGCTCCTTGTTCATAATAATCAAATATATTCCTTCAGTAATTGGAGCTGTGGGAAGTGGAAGCATAGCATTACGAAGTACTTTAATAGGTCATTTGTTATTTCAGATATAAGCCTGAGTTTGAGAAGTTCAATATATGTCCTTATCTATTTTGCAAATATATCCTACTCAAGCTACCTTCACTTATTTTATCTGAGTTGTGCATTCTTAAGCTATTTTATCAATTCTGAAGGGTCATTGGCTCCTAATTGGGCGCACTGGGTTATTTTCTAAATGTGTTTCTTTTCAAAAGTCAGGCTACACATTTTTTATTACAGGTTTTTCATAGAATCGTAGAATCGTTAAGGTTGGAAAAGACCCTTAAGATCATCGAGTCCAACCGTTAACCTAGCACTGCCAAGTCCACCACTAAACCATGTCCTCGAGCACCATGTCTACCCTTCTTTTAAATACCTCCAGGGATGGAGACTCAACCACTTCCCTGGGCAGCCTGTTCCAGTGCCTGACTACCCTTTCGGTGAAGAAGTTTTTCCTCATATCCGATCTAAACTTCCCCTCGCACAAATTGAGGCCATTTCCTCTCGTCCTATCGCATCGCTTGTTGGAGAAGAGACCGACCCTCACCTCGCTACAACCTCCTTTCAGGTAGTTGTAGAGAGCAGTAAGGTCTTCCCTCAGCCTCCTCTTCTGCAGACTAAACAACCCCAGCTCCCTCAGCCGCTCCTCATAAGACTTGTTCCCTAGACCCTTCACCAGCCTTGTTGCCCTTTGGACACACTTTCCCTTGCTTTTATTCTTCTTCCTCCTTTTGTTCCACATTTTCACCCTAAAGCAGAATACAAATACAACATAATCCTCGATCTTCAGATAATCTGAAGCAAAACTACCAACTAGCAGCATTTAGTTCCATCTATCTAGATCTTTCCGGGTATGTGTGTGTCCTATTGCAAAATGTGCATTCTTTGCGTTTTCTTTTTCTAAAAGAAATGCATGTGCATTTCTTTTCTGAATCCTTTCAGTACTTTGAAGTCACCTTACCTGGCTGGTAGACAGAGGGCTTTATGCTGGCAGTAGTAACAACTCTCGGTTTTGAAGTAGCAGAAGCAGCAGGACTTTCACCGTAGCTTCCAGAAACTGGCATTGGTGTATATGACTGGCTTGTGTTTCTAAAAGCAAAATGAAGGTATGAGCAACTTTATAAACAGCAAAAGTTACTGATTATGAAATAATAGATCTGTCAGCTTCCAAAGTACTCCGAGAGGAACTGTCCTTGAGAGCTACAGAGAGAATACTGTGAGATTCATTAGTCTTTATCATTGCTAAGAAAGGCTTCAACAATTCTTCAGAAAGAAAAATTCGCCAGATAAGGATTTTAAATACTGCCAAGTTGCTCTTGTCACAGAACATAGCTTACTGAAGAAATATGACAAATTTACTAAAGGGACTCTCAGTTTACCAAGGGATCAGACTTCGGGAACATGCATACAACGTTTGGGTTTTCTGTCCCTCTACAAACAAACAGGCCTGTTCTTGTCTCAGGTAAATCAATGAGGGCTATCTCATTGCCTTAAAAAGATACTGGCTCAGCACAGTTACTACTACTGCTACAAATACTAACTGCTGTTTACAAGCATTGTACTCTTTTAAAAAAAGACTGTAGTGACCTTTAAAAACCATTTCTGAAACTAACGCTTTTCCCTATTTAGGCTGAAATCACAATTCACATTAATTTTTCTGATGTTCAGATTCAGCTAACCCAAAAGCATGTCATATGCAATATTATGATGCAATTTCTGCATTCCTAGGTTAAAAACATTTGCTCAGGATTCCAAACATCAAAAAGAAATCGTTTTTCTCTATTTTATGCCTCGGATGGCGATTCTCAGTTTGATTATAGTAACACATTGAAATATATGGCTCTTCTCTTTGCCTGTTACTTCAGATGATTCTATTTGTAGTGACTTTGCTTCTTAGACCACTAAAAGAGCATTACAAACAAAGCAAGCAAGAGAGAATAAAGAAGTACAAGGACGAGAAGCAACAGATACCGAGATGCGTGCAGTAATAAAAACCATTCACTATTGAACATCAGTCTTACTCACCCTGATAACATAGTTTTACTTTCTTTTTCCCTTCAGTTTCACTATCTGTATGAACCAGATCCCTATACATTTGTGCTGACAGCTCCGGAGTTATTTCCGTAGTGGCTTTGTCTATAGGAAAACATTTGTCAGCATAAGAAAAGAAGTGTCCAGCTTTGCCAGACCATTGGTCCATCTTGACTTGTACTTTCTTTAATAGTGGAAATAGATGCCATCTGGGGAGAACGTATTATAGTTTTTACGTATGGCAAACCCAGCAAATTCCTTCCAGTACAGGTAAAAAACATTCTGACAAATGTAAACTTTTGATTTTTAATTTTGAACAAAATAAACCTATCCTCACAACATAGCTTTTTGCTACTCTGACGGAGCTTATACTGTAGATCTAGTTTGCATAGCATTGCTGCCTCAGGCTAATTTATTTTGTCTATTTTATTAGACCTAGAAACATAGCTATTACTACAGTGACTATAGCTAATTATTTCTATACCTAGTCGAGGGCTTAGGGCTGGATTTGGGTGAATGAATGAACAGGACTCTCCAAGATAAACTATTTTAGTGGGTTTGTATTCACTGTAAATTCTGTTGTGAACTGTGCTGTGATTTTGTAACCGCCAAAGCTGTTCTAAGCACAGTAAGACTTTTTACTTTCCATTCTTACCATCTATTTCCTGTTGATACCTCCTCACCTGTAGTGCATAAGAATGCACTGTACTGGGGGTCACTGGACAGAGGATCATTGCTCCTACTGTAGCACAGACAGGAAGATGTACGCTTCAGGTACACTGGCTTCACATAAAGCTTTCAAAATGCCTTTAGTTAAATACACACTATCAAAAGACGCTTCCTTGGTTTAAAATCTACTATTCAAGGTAAACTAGACAGAAAACCAGCAAAACATACTTACCTTTACAGGATCAGCAATCAATATTTACAATGTGGATTAAAAGATTTTAAATTATGTGTCATACAGCCTTAATCTGAAAATGGCATACACTCAGCAAAGTCTACTCCCAGATGTGCAGGTCCATTGGTAGAAAGACTCATTTGAAGCTCTCTTAATGCACAAAAATACATAAAGAAGTTCTGAGCCAGATTAGTGATACCTAGGCTGTCATGAAGAAAAATGGTTATTCAAAATTCAAGTGTTTCCCAAAGTTAATAGCATGATAAAACCATGGCGCTAGATTTCCTTGTATGTTCAGGGAAATGAGGTTGAAAAAGCCAAAAACAACACACAAAAAAATTATATTCATAGTACCAAAATCATGGCAAAATTAAAAGAAGTCAACTACTGAACTCTTTTACAAGTGTATGATGCATATTATATACAGTAAGGAAGATAAATAGGCTTGTCAAAGAGAAATAAAGTGTTACACTACATCATTAAGGGGTTTAGTGAAGTTAAAAGATTTATCAGAATTTCTGCTGAAGAAAAGGAAATAGCGTGTGATTAAAAGAAAGAAAAAAAAGAAAAAACAAAGAAAGAAAGAAAGAATAAAAAGATGTCCTATGGATCAAAGATGCTTTAATGGAACAGGAAGCAATGGCATCTCGAAAAGCAGTGAAAGCACCCTTACTGAATTTATCTGTAGCAGCCAATGGCGTGTGACAGGCAGCAAATTAAATACTGGCTCTGAAAACTATTAGTTGTCAGAAAAAGAAAGAGTCAATATTTCTAAGCAGATCATTTTTATGTTAATACTTCACTGGATGCCTACTAGCAGCAATAAACTGGTTTGTTAAGTGCTTTTAAGATAGAGTAGCTGCACAAAACATTTTTATACCTCTTCTTTGACTGGTAGCTGATGGAGGTGGAAGAATGCCGGTTGAAACTAAAATGAGACAAAAGTTATATTTGAAAAAAAATATACCGAGAAAATTAGGATATCTTGTCCTACAGTGAATTTCCTTATGAATAAGAGATGCTCTTAAGTGCTAAAGTAAACAACATGTACATATTTGTAATCATATAAGATCAGTATTACATTACATTTTGCTTATCTTATTTAAGCTAGGAATCATAGTGAAATCTGAATAACGGTAACATAAGTAAATAAGCTGAGTATATTGCTCCATAAGCCACCCTCATCCAGTTTTGCTCATTCTTTAGTTGTGGAATTCTAATTCAACCACTGAACTGTTTGCTTTGACAGTCACGGTTTATTTGTATTAGCACAGAAAAATAAGTATGAGTTTCTTTTTGTCAGTGTCATAAGCTTAAGTTGCGTCAAATCTTAAAAGCAAACCTTGAATGAACCAAGTCCAAAGATCAGCTAAGTTTCTTAGCTTATGAGGCAACTAGGACAGCCCCACAGAAAGGACAGGCTGGAAGTAGTTGAAGCAACATCATCAAGCCATCACGTTCAACCTTTCCCTTGGAGTACCATTCTCCTGTTCATTTACTAAACAGTCTTAGGTAAACAGGTAGATTTTTTTTTTTTCTTGGGGAAGCAGCATCATTTCAGAACATAAATGATTTATTTATGTAAATACAGAAAGTACTTAAAAGCCTGCACAATGTACGATCTGAGAAACAAGAGGATTCAGAATGAACACAGCTCCTGTCTAAATGCAGAGCAGTGCAGAGCTACATGGCAACAATCACATCCCACAGGGGCACAGCCCACATTTGCCAGGATTACCAGAAGCCTATCATATGCCAGTTATTTTCCCAGCTTCTGGAAAAGAGTTTTGCTTCCCTTCACCATAGACACAGTGCTTGAATTAAAATCCTAGGATCACAGAATCTACACCTTCCTTTTAGAACCATAATTTTTTTGTATGCCCTGAGTGCTGTCTCACGGGTTGCCCTGCTTTTACCCTCCAAATGGAAAAACCTATTGCATAAAGAGCTTCGTAGCTTATTTAAAACACTCCTTATATGCTTTCTTCTTCGTAAGTAAGATTGTTAAGAGAAAAAGTAAGATTAACATTGCAGATTTAAAAGTAAGTTTAACATCGCAGATTTAAAAGGAAGAGTAACACCATCAGTTAAGGATTAATGACTTATTTCAAACATTCCTCTTTAGGAACATGATAAAGATTTTACTCATGTTAGATGCTACGTATATGGCCTTTTCTCACAAAAGCAAAATCACTATAGAACTGATCTACCAAAGTTTAAATCAGATTTAAATAGTTAAGGACATTGATCAAGAAATCCTCCTGCATTTTCTTGGTGGACCTTTTTAAGGTATCTTGAAGGAAAAAAAACCCAACAAACACTGGAACAATGGTGGTAAAATCTCAGCCTCATTCTACCTGAGCATGTTTTACAGGATGGGGATACTGTTGTAACTAAAGTCATCCATATTTTATTTTGAACTAAAATTATATGAAATGCCGCAATGCTCCAATGGTATATGTCAAGGTGAAACTGGATTTTTAAGTCCATATTTTGGCATGCTAATGCACTGCTTGACTTCCAAATGAAAACTATCAGATGCTGAAAAATTTGAATTATAAATGAATTTAGAAGCCAGTTTTAGTCCCTTATGTTTGAATACACTAGCTATAATACATGACAGTTTTTAAAACAAACATGAAAGTAGTGCACAAAAATAAAGAACCTATTTCAGCTGCAACACAACCCTCAAAAAAACCAAACCAAAACAAAACAAAAACCCCAAACCCAAAAAACCCAAACTGAGTTTGCTTCTTATATCTGATTATCAGGGAACCAATTTTTTACAGGTCCTACAAATTTCTGATTTTCCTTTATGTCCCAAGGCTCACTGAATTACTGAACTCCCAAGAGGGATATTAGCTAAGACAATAACATTTGCCTGCTGATAACAGCTTGAAGCTTATGTCAGCATGATACCTGTGTCATTCATTAGCAACTAAGATTTTAGGGCAGTGGCATATAAAGCTGATACTCTCTAGATCTTGTATCTTTGACTTAAATAATTGCCAGGTACAAGCAATAGTTTTTAGTAGTCTGATTAAAGCCTTGCTTTCTGAAATGGACAGTTGTTTTTCATAGATTCACAGAATCTTTCAGGTTGGAAGAGACCTCAGGAGGTCTTTCATCTAACCTGTTGCTCGGAGTGAGGCCGGCTCCAAGGTCAAACCGGGTTGCTCAGTGTTTTATCCCATGGTGTCTTGAAAACCTTCAAGAATGGAGACGCACAGCCTCCCCAGACAACCTGCTTCCTTTCAAAGCAGCAGAAAAGGGTAAAATGGTCCATGCCAATCTAATGCAGGAGATGAAAGACATTTGAATTGGAAGTAAATTTTAATATCTCAAGGTGATCTTTTTATCCTCATTACTCATTAAAATTGTGATTCACACTGATTAGTCCATATTGATACATAACCACAAATGAATTCATAGTTTCAAGGCCTCACACTGCTTCCCTTCTCCCCATGAAAGGAACGTGAAATTAAAGTGAAATGGATAAAGGCTCAGTCAAGAAATATTATATTAGCTCTAAGATAGCCATGCAAGTAGCGTCAGCAAATAATGGCTATTTTTATACTAATTTATTAGCTGTTTATATGTAAATTATATGTAAGAAGAGTAGATTTATCCCAGAAGTTAACAAAAGATATCTGCATCTAATTCTTATACCAAAAGCTAGCACGGAAAATGAAAGGTATGCCAGCAGTTGTCAATCTGTCCCAAGTCACTGTTATACTCTATTCCTGACCAACATAGCTACCATACTGCAATGTGAAGAGTGCCTGTTCTGGGATTTAGAAAGTCTATCTATAGTTCTGTGATTAATACAAAGGAACTATAGCTTCTTAAATGAATAGCCTTCAGTTAAAAAAAGTAGGCATGCATTAACCATTTTGTGAAAACATGCCTTCTGCCTGCTTGGGCAGCCTTATTTTAAGGTTTTTCTGTGATGATAAACTATCTGTCTCTGAAAGGTTTCTAGAGATCTACCACTTTTATGACTGATTTGAAAGCTCACGATGCTATGATTCACATATTCATAAGCGTTTCTGAAGTTTTTAGATGACTCTGAGTACAGTCTTATAACTCAATAGTCCAGTTTTAGAATGGCCCCCCTGACTAGCAGCATTCTCAGTGTTCAAATCTATGTCTGTCTTTGCCTGATCAGGCAGCTTCATAGAATAATAAAAACAAAATCCAAAGGAAATTTTATTTCTGAAATAAAGCCATTTCTTAAAACAGGAAAATTTGTAGTTTTGACATTTTTAAAATGTGACGTGTTCTTTAGCCCTCCTCTTGTATCCTCCTATTCAAGATACTGAGAAATTGTCAAGGAATAGAATTTTTTCACTCAAGTGTAAAAATGCCTTTCTAATCTTGGGTGGGCAGTAAAATAAACCTGATTCAGATTTTAACAATGGAGTCCTAAAAGTGATATGTGCAATGCATCTGTGATTTTATCTTTCTGCATTCCTCCAAAATTGTTCATCAAATGAAAAAGTCTTTCATTATCTGATTGTTTTTCTTGAAGGGGGAAAACTAGAGCCTTTTGTGACATCAATGCTAATCTCAATGAAATATGCATATATTGCAGAAATAAAAAGTATTGCATGCAGTACTACTACATGCAGGCTTCAGCCTATGCAATTCTCACTGAAGCTAGCAGAATACCAAGGAAATCTCTTATGCAGGTATGTAAAAATATACCTCTCACAGCAAGATTTAGATGGGTCCTAAGGTATAGGCTGATGAAAAAGGAGTAGATGTCCTCTGTCTGGTCAGAGTAGTCACCAAGGCTTCGATTTAATTTCTTGTTCTGACTGATGGATACGTTTTGGTCCTCAACTAAGAGAAACACTAAAACTGAGTCTTTTCTGTAACTCAGAAGAAATAAATAGGTTCTGCATGGCAGCGTGATAAACAAGCTCAAATATGCACAGTTATTGTTGCTTAGGAAGTGAGGTACTTTCCCTGGTTATAAGAGGTTTTTAACTGCTGCCTACAACAACTATATAGGACCCTCTTCTCATAGAGATATGTGATCATTCCAACTGACTAGAAGAGATTTGTTAGTAAAACAAACAGTGGATGAAGTAGTACCGGTGACATTTAAGAGCCTAATCATACCACAGGATTGAACAAAAAAGCAGTGTAAGAATTACTTCTGAAATGCACTGAGTACTTATAATGTGAAAATTAAGTCCTTTTAAGCTATTTTATGATGGATACCCGCAAATAATGAATTCGCTAAATAACTCACCACTTTGGAATTTTGAAAGTTCATACATAAAACTAGATGTCAATGGCAATAAACGCCCTTGCATCTGTTCTTACCTTCTATTCTTGGTAACATTCTGGTGACATTCACCAACTTTATAGTTTAATTGAAACTAAAGTTACGATTAGCATACTTTCACTCAAATAAATCGAATTAGATCAGCAGTTAATTTTACTTCTTATGTTTTATCAGCTCCATATGGGAATTACATCCCTTGTGTAATTCCCATGGCTGTAAACTGCCATGTTTACATCCTAAAACTCCGAAGTAGCTATTTCATTTTTGCATTGGTTTCAGTGATGTGAAACCAACCAAAATGCTTTCAAGTATGTACCTGTGCATAGCACTTAACTGCTGTTTTCTATGATACTCTCAAGAAAGATCATTATACTTCTTGATGTGTAGCCTTCAAACTTGTGCTCTGTGTTCATTTCAAACATCACTTTTGGGTGATTCCTAACTACCTTTTTATATCAAGATAAGGGAGACATGGATAATTATAACCTCAAATGTATTGCTGATTCAGTTTTTCATTATTTCTGATGACTGTGTTCAAATAATGAATCTTAAAATCTACTGCTTTCTCCTCTGTTAGTCTTGACAAAATGTTAATGAAAGCAATAAAAAGGCTTAGCAGTGAGGCAGTACAGCAGCGTTCTCTCTTTCTAGTGATAGATGCTACCTTTCCCTATCTGTGGTCTTTCATTAGTCATGATTAAAAGCATAATAAAAGAAGGTCGGTGATTCTTGTGATCCTGTGTTTTCACCAAGAAAAAAAAAAAAAAGAAAAAAAAGAAGCCTGTCATTCTCACCCAGTGTCACTAGACAAATATTTTCATTTTAAGATGGCAAAAACAGGACAAACCAACCCACTGAAATACCTTTGTTCCAAAAGGATCTTTTGGTCACATATCCTAAATCTAAAACTTAGGTGTTTCCTAGCTTGGTTTTAATGTGAAAGATAAGCAAGAAGGCTATTCCTTTAAACACACATTCCTTTTCCACAGTCTCTGCCAAGCCAATCTCTTAAGAGGCTGAAAACCTGAAATCAGAGAGAGTAATACAGAATAAAAACAAATTAAAAGAAAAAGAAGAGAGCTTTACAGATATACCTAGACTGAGATGAGAGAGCAGATGAAATAGTGGAAGCTGCTAATGACATGTTCTTGGACCCATGGAAAGGCTTAGGCTGTGAAAGAGAGCTGGGGGCTGCAAGCACTCTGCAGAAGACACATGAAAGCACGTACAAAATAATTTAACAGGGACAAAAATAGTGACATCAGAATCAAGCTTTGTCGGAGTTCAGATACAAGAGGACTGCTGCATAGTTACCAGGAACAGGCTTTCTGTAGCATACATCTGCAGACTTACAGAATAGCATAACCAAGTACATTCCTACAGAACACAAGACAAAATGCACACATTATGCGAAAATCTTCAAACCAGAGTCTATCGATAACTAAGACGGACAATATTTCAGGACAGGACTTTTGTCAACAAGACATGTTTCTATCTGCAAGATCTGAAGATGTTTGAGTGTGAATTCAAGCTAAACTTTTTAATATGCAAGCAGTACCAGTCAAAAGATTCTCCTATTTGAAACACAAATCATTGGCATGATTAGTTTAGTAGAGGCATTTATTTTTGAAGCATATATTAGATAATCCATTTTCTTCATGTTACAGTTTCCACTGAGGGATAAAAATTAAACTGTATCATTATTTCATGTGAAAGTGCCTTACAGCACAGTTCTGAATTACAGAATAATACCTTATTCAAACCTCCTTTGCTGGCTGCATGATTGATTTTCTTGCACTCAATTAAAAACACTGGAGTCCAGTAGGTCACAGTTAGGTAAAAAATGACTAAAGCAAGAAACTAAGTAGTTGGTATACATAAATAATTTAAGTCAACTAGCAAAACTTACACAAGAAATAGAGCCAAGAGAACATTTCCAATTCCATTTGCACACATCTAAGATATGGGAGACTACATCTTAGGTCTCAATTATTTAAAGTAGTTTACATTACTGGAAGTGTGTTTTTCCTTGGATTTTTAAAGCATGCTAAAATATACATCTTTTAGGAACATTCACGCAGAAAAACACCTAAGAAAAAAGAATTATATGCACCAAAAGGAATTCAGTCTTACTATCCCCAAAATTACTATAACGTAAGTGACAGCAGTATAAATCCTATGCGTTTCTTCACAGACTGACAACTTTTAACGTACAACTGTAACTCCTACTGTACTACAAGTGTTATGAATGCATACCTCCTTGAAACTCACTTTAGCTCTATAGCTAAATCTCATTAGAGAATAGCAAGTAGGTAAATCTAATAGAAATTAATTGACTTAACACCTTACAGAGCCAGTCAATCATCAAATGTATGGTTTTATTGACATACTGCTCATTGTCCACCATGTTCTACTGACATCTCCTACAATATGGAAAGCTCAATCACGTGAGTAAATGACATTTTCTAATTTTCCGTTTCATGTCATACTGCAGAAACACTACTAAAAGATCCTTCATTCAACCACTGTAACTATTATGAGGAGCTGGTTTGGTTTTATTACAAGTGGTGAAAAAACATTTCTAGTTTTAACCCTAGACTTGATTTCTGAACATGTTAACTGTATTGCAGACTTAAAGCTACTTTTTGTTATTTTTCAGGGCAGTTTCATTTTGCAAATTCTTTGCAAACATGAACAACGTACTTCCAAATAAGAAAACACACCAAAATATAGAAAAGCATATAAAATAGGCTACAGCTTTTACATACTACATTCTTTAGTTAAGAATGTGTATGCAGCATTCCCAGAGCCATACAGCAGTGTATCTGTGGAAGGACAAAGCAACGAAGCATTACCTTTGGAAGGAGGATGAGAAAGCCTCTTGCACTACTGAGGTGGTTGCTGGTGGTGTCATCAGACTGGCTGTATTTTGGGCAGCAGTAGCAGGCTGATGTGCTGAAGCATGTGGTGCAGGAGCAGAGGCAGAACTGGTAGGCACCGGAGCATGCTCAACAGGGGTACTAATTAGAGTTAAATTAAATAAAACAAGAAGCATCTTAAGAAGGTGCGTATTTAAATGTAGAGCATAAAACCTACTATGTTTGAACCTGAAACTGCAAACATAGTAGCAGGCTGTGTTACTGAGGGAAAAGCACAATTATGCAAAAAAAAAAAAAAAGACATTTGTTAGGCCTTTTCAGATGTGCAGTTAAGACTGTAATGCAGTTTTGGTCCTGCTTGACTGAAATTTATCCCAGGTGCTATACAGCACCTAAGTCCTGCTCCCACTGAAGCCAGCGGTAGGAAACGTGGCATGCAGTACTTAAATAGTTGCAAAGAGCCTGTCACAAACTTTTTGAACTAGGATAAATTTCACCCAATATTTACTCCTGGAGCTGAAGTTTATGTTAGGAGTAAACTTCTTAATTAGATGAAGAAAAGCAATTTAAAGGATACTATCATAGTCTTGTATCAGCAGGTTTCCTGCAAGTTCTGATAGTCTAGAAATCCAGTCAGCACAGTTTTGTGTTGGGTTTAATTAATTTTGCACAATACAGGTAGTGGAAAGATGTTTAAAAGGAGTCCATTGACTGTCAGTTCATGTCTGACCTAAACTCACCTTACATTGCACTGGCCAACCCATCAAACAATAAGATGCCTTTTTTACACATAAAACAGTATGCAAAATACAAGGGGAAGATGTAGCATAAAATTTTACTACACCAGTTTTTAAAACCACTTGGGTGATGAACATGAGTTGTTATCCTTGTAGCCCTCTTGTGCTGTTGTGGCACAGATAACATGGAGCAGAGAAATATGAATGTTTAATTTCTTTTCTCTTTATTTGATTGCAGAATAGATTAATTGAAATGAATAATGATAAAAATCTAGTCTTGTACCTGTAGCCATTTTAGTAACCTACTGAACTACTAGTGTCTTTCCTCACCTGCTATCAGAGCACCGAGTGCTCTCATTAACGTATTTTAGCCTTGCAGCCTCACTCAGATTTGGAAAGTATTACTCATCTCTTACAGACAGACAAATGGGGCAGTTATCTATTAGACAGCTTTACAAGGTAGCGTAGTCAAAGCCATCCGCTGCTAAGAAACGAACTGATCTTTTGGGAGGTTCAGTTTATTGTCTTGCACTAGCTCTTACAGCAAATGAAAAAAAAAAAATCATTAAGTGAACTTCAAGATTCACATTCTTTGCTGACTGGTTCAATGAACTTAATATCAACAAAAAAATAATAATATGTACATTCATTATTCACTTGTCAATAAACCTAACAAAAATCAATAGGTCATTTAAAATCAAAAGGGGGTTTAAAAAAAAAAAAAAAAAAGAGAGAGAAGAGAAACAAGAAAAGACAAAAGCTTAATTTTGTGTTTAGGCAGATTTTACTGTGGATTTTATTAATTATTATCCACAGAACAAATAAGCCACTAAAAAATAACTAATTGAATTGATTTTTCAGATTATTATACTATTTGGGGGCACGAATTTCAGTCACAATATAAGCCTATGTCCTCCAGGCATAAGGGACATTTTTCTTGATGCCATGATTGTGCTGTGGATTTATTTTCTTTACTAGTTATCCTAATACATCTATTTTTTTTTTTTAAATCAGCACATTACTGTGCATGACATAGTTGTCTTGTCCACAGGCAGTGGTATAAGAACATAATGGATATATTTTTACTTCTTTTGACCTAACTCGTAAGTATATTGCCACATCTCTGGATTCTTACAAATGACTCCTATCAGGGTGACGGAATTAGGTGATTCTCTTGTGCAACATACAAAGAATGCCCAAAATACTCTTTCCTGAGCACAGTATCAAATAACAAAAAACAACCTTACAGTTCCACGACTGTTTTTCAGCCAAACCTTAGCCCTCAAACATTCTTTCTCTCAACCTTTTTTCATATCTGAATTTGCCATTGTGCAAATATTTTCTTGGTCTTTCAGCCATTCTATCTAATACTTTCTTCTTCTTCTCTCAGAAGCACTGATTCAACAAGCTGTACGCCTTAGGATCTAGAGTGAGTGCTTGGTACTTCAGAATTCGTGATACCCCTTGCTCTGCAAGGGAGTGTTCCGTTTCCCCTGTCCTCCTCCTCTTCTCCACTTTCTTGTATGGTTTAGTGGTCTAAATGATGGTGGTTTTTAGTTCAGCTGAATATTTTACTGTTTGATTAGCTGAAATGGAAGCGTGGTTGTTATGCCCACCAATTTCAAAGTTGAATGCAACCCATGACAAAAGCAGAAAATCAGTATTTTCTCCTTTATGAGTTTCATCTGCAATTATACACATAACAAGTGAGCCTCTAAAAATACTCACCTTGTTTGCAATTCCGGTTTTCAAATCATTACACCAGAAGTTTTGCAACAGTTTTGCAAAAGTTTGCCCATCATAATATGCATTTGAAATTCAGATCAGTTCTTCCATCTCGATGCATTTGCATTATGATGTAAATTCTTCTGCTGAGCTAACACAGTATCAATTACACTGACTATGTAGCAGAGCAGCTGTATATTGTACATCACAGCTATGGATCATGGGCTAGTCTGTTACCGTGTTTTAATACTCGCAGGACTTTTTTTTCACTCTGTGCAACAATGGGTACCGGAATTGTCACATTAAAAAGGTGTCGAGTCAAAATTTAGCACTTACACACCTTCGACTCGGCAAACAGGAAAGGACTGAAACTATACTGCGCATAAAATGGGACTTAACGCATGTCCTGAAAACAAATACAAACTAGGATTTCACCTATTTTTCTTTCTATTTTCACTGAAATGAAAGGGAATTTGCTACAGATTTCAAGAGAATCAAGACTTCATACCTTGAATAGAAGAAAAAAGTGAAGTTACTTAGTTGTTGTAACGATCTCCAAAAGGTTAACCAAAACACATACTCAGTGATATATATTTAAAAGAAAAAAAAGAATATGTGTGGACATGGACCTGTGTAGAGACAGATTTGAACTGGACAAACACATATAAATAAAATAAATGCAAATATACTGGAATACCTTGCAAAATTGAAAAGAAATACAAACAAATTTTATCTTGCATGCTGTTTGTAATAGTTCTTTTCATGTGATTAAATTGTTAGAGGCTTGGTCACCTTCCTGCAGGGTAGAATATATTAATTAACAGAAGAAGAAATTGGAATAAATATAAATGAAGTAGATAAAAACCTTAAAAATTAAGGTGATCTGGTTACATACAACATATGCAGTTGGTAGCTAATTCTCTACTCACTTTTATAGAAAGAATTCAGACTGACTTAGCTTTTTTTAGTGTAACTACTATAAATTTTAAATAATTTTATGGAGATATTCAAATAAAATAACACCACTTTTTTTCCCCCCCAAGATTACCTCCTTTCTAGATTTTCCATCTGAAGGAGTGCAGAAGAATTTTAAGAACTGATAAACGTGAATGCTGCTTTATAAAACAGATCAACTATTAAAACAGTTTCATTATTATGTATGTTAGAGGTTTGGTTTTTTTTTTTAAACAGTCATTCTGTACACTTTTAATCTTTACAGTATTTTGCATTTTAAGGAAAATCAAAGGAAATGGATGTTCTCAAACATCTCCATATTTGTGGTAACAAATAAACATAAAATGCACAATGTGAGTAAGTTACATGGATGAAAACGAACACACATATCTCTTCTCAGCTGATTTTCACTCATGAAAAGGAACACAGATCAGTAGAGGTTAAGAGGATAATAATGGTTAACAACCATAATGAGAAAACACAGCAACAAATGCACTCTGACATTTAAAAAATAAGTGCAGATTACACTTCTTTCTCTCAGTGAAGTCCTAAGTTCTGAGTCTTTCTGTCCAAATAACAATCAAATGGATTATTAAAGCAGTACTTAGTCTCCTTTACTTAATGCATGAAGTTCTTTTTGTTTCAAATCCTCCAACAGATCTCTCGTAAAGAATTGAAAATACAGGGAACAAAAATAAAAATGAATAGGCAAAAATTATCTCTTATTGTAGCATTTGTAGAAAAAAGTGCTGGAGAAGGCGTTTAGAGAAAGACATAACATGGAAGAGAGTTTTGCATTTGAATACAGGAATGTTTGTAGAAATACAGTGAATAATACCAGCTGCTGTTTCTCTGCAGAAGGTCCTTAATGACTGTTGTCTTTATATTGTAGGCGAGATCCTTAGGAGTGCCACTTAAAACGTAAAACCCACGTGAACTAGAAGTTCCTGGAATTTGTAGAACTGAGACATCTGCCTGCTAGGCAGTGGGCATTTCCATCTGAAGGAGTTAGAGGTTGTTATTACCAAACCATTCCAAAGCTCCAAACCAGGTCAGTTATGCAGTTACACGTCACAGTGTACCTTTGATTACTGGATGAAGTAAGAGGGACTTTCTGGCCAGTAGTGGTGAAACTGGCCTCCCTCTGACTTGTACCCGCTCCAAGCCTCACAGACCCCTTGGAGGCCACTGGCTTAGCATTGTCAGTGTTGGCATCCATGGTGCGTGATTTAGGAGGATGCAAAATACTTGAGGTCACATACTGTGGCGCATGTGTAGCAGCTGTAGGCCTGGGTAACAAAGATTACAAGGGGATTTGTAAATGAGGTATTTATTATCTTGTCACCAGTTTCCTAGGTAATAGCAGGTATTTGAGTGAGAGACAGAATTCCAGCCACAGAAGAAGCTGGTGGTGTAATAAAAAAAGGGTTTTTCGGTTTTTTAGTTTTCAGAGATACGCGTGCTTACTGCCTACCATACCAAATAAAGTAGCATTTTAGAATGCTAATACCTGACCCTTTAAGACAGCAGTTATTATTTATATGCAGTAAAGCCCTCAGATAACAAAAAAACCAAACCCAGAAAAAAAACCCACAAAAATGCTGAACC